TCTTGTTAATTGTGATGGGGCTGCACTTTACTACAGACAGAAATTTTGGTTGCTTGGAGTTATCCCTACAAAGGCACAAATCAGGGATATAGCTGAGTGGCTTCTCAAGTACCATATTAGCACTACAGGCTTAAGTACTGACAGCCTTATGGAAGCTGGCTATCCAGGTTCTTCTGGTCTTCGAGAGGCAGTTTGTGGGATGGCTGCTGTTAGGATCACTGCTAAAGACTTTATGTTTTGGTTCTGGTCCCATACAGCAAAAGAGATCAAGTGGGGCGGTGCAAAGCATGATCCGGGTGACAAGGATGATGGAAGAAAGATGCATCCCAGATCACCATTCAAGACTTTTCTGGAGGTTGTCAAGTGGCGTAGCCTGCCTTGGGAGGATACAGAAATGGATGCAATTCATTCCTTACAGGTGATATTGAAAGTCTCCTTCCAAGATGAGGTTGCTGATGATTCCAAAATGATTGTGAATGTACCATCTGTAGATGACAGGATTCAGAGGGTGGATGAACTGCGTGTTGTCACTAATGAAATGGTCCACCTGATTGAGACAGCTGCTGTCCCAATCTTCTCTGGTGACTCCTCTGGTAACATTAATGGATGGAACTCCAAAGCAGCAGAACTCACTGGCCTGACAATTGAGCAAGCCATTGGCATGCCATTGTTTGATCTTGTTGAGGATGATTCGATCGATATTGTCAAAAACATGCATTCATTAGCCCTAGAAAGTAATAGTGGGATTTATCTTTTGAACATGCTGCTTTATTAGATATTACTTTTTTATTTGTCTTGAAACTATATGCATGTTTAATTGAACGGTGTATTTCTGCATTCTGGATATATATGTTTTTGTTTCTTTCTTATATACCTCTATTTTAATCGTATCGCTTATGTTGAGGGATCTCCCGCTTGCACGGTCGGTCGGAATCCCCAACAATTGGAAGGTATTGTTTTTCCAGGGTGCATGTGTGCCGTTTTAGCCCTAGGATTTTGTCTCCTAACCCTTAAGAGGGTCTTGGGAGCGCCTCGGTTGAGGAGAGCATGATACGCAGATCATGTTGTACTTACCATGCCTGACCTTGGATGCCGAGCTTGTGTGTTGTTCACCTCGGTATATTTGAGTGGAGAGCCACAATGACCCAATTGAAGGGGTTGGAGACCTAGAGGACCTAGTTGGTGAAGATGCGAACCTTGGAGTATCAATTGGCATTGAATGGCACAATTGGTTTTGAAATGCATTTGAGAGAATAGAACAATGTGTGCTCCACAATTCCCCTTACGACTTGAGGGTGCGGTTTATATTCCCCCAAATGCATTTCAACACCACTTGCGCCATTCAATGCCAATTGGTCCTCCAAGGTTCGCCACTTCTCCAATTGGGTCCTCCAAGTCTCCAAGGGTTCTCGTGGCTCTCTGCCAAATCAACATGGGTGAACCACAAACAGCAACTTGACATTTGAGGTTTTATTGTTTAGGTATCTCCTAATTGGGCAATCAGTTGGAACCCCCACCAACCGAAAGTTATTGTTTTCCGAGCTTGTGGGCCGTTTTTAGCCTTGAGATTTTGTCTCCTGACAAGGTCCTGGGTGCGCCTGGTTGAATCGTGTCATACTTACCGTGATTTACCTCGAGTGCTGAGCAATTGTGTGTGGTTCACCCCAATTGATTTGGGCAAAGAGCCACAAGGACCCAGGTTTAGAGACTTGGAGGACCCGATGGAGAAATGGCGAACCTTGGAGGACCAATTGGTGTTGAAATACGTTTGGGGGAATAGAACCCGCCCCTCCCCTCCAAAAAAAAACCCTTAAGGGGATTTGTTGAGCACCCCTGGTACCACTAGACCAATTCCGGTTGTTGGGGTTTCTGACTGACTGTGCAATCGGGAGATCCCCCATCAACTTACATTTTCATCCATTATTTTATATGTTAATTCAGCAGCAGCTCAACTGCATTATGGAGTGCATAGCTGTGTTATTTTCGGGTGACATGTTTGTAGGCATTTTGATATGAGTATTCGGATAAAGGTTTTTCTTTTTGCTTTCTGACATATTATCAATTATGCATCTATCTTAAAAACAATGACAACTTGTTGAATCATCAAATAGTTGAATCATGTTTATCTCTAATTGATCCTTTTGTGATAGCCCCTTAGAGAAATGAAGTGATGTTTTTAACTCTTTATTTTCAATGAGCCATTTAATTCAGCATTTCCTTTGTAAGATTGCTCTAAATATTACTCCCCTTTTATTGAGCATCTATCTTCTCTAATTTTTCCTTTTATTTTGGTGTTTTTTGAAGTTAAGCTTGCTTTTCACGTTGATGACAAATGGCAGGTATAGAAGAACGAAGCATTGAAATCAAGCTTAAGACTTTTGGTTTTCAGTGAAATAATGGCCCTATAGTCTTGGTTGTTAATGCATGTTGTAGTCGAGACATAAAGGAAAATGTTGTTGGAATTTGCTTTGTTGGGCAAGATCTCACCGGCCAAAAGACAGTCGTGAACAAATATGCCTGTGTCCAGAGTGACTATGTTGGTATTATGAGGAACCCATCTGCTCTTATTCCCCCAATTTTTATGGTCGATGAATTCAGCCGATGCTTCGAGTGGAACTATACTATGCAAAAGTTGACTGGCATGAAGAGGGAAGAAGCCATTGATAGGATGCTTTTAGGGGAGGTTTTTACACTGGACAAGTTTGGCTGTAGGGTGAAGGATCATCACACCTTAACCAAACTAAGAATATTATTCAATGAGATAATTGCGGCCTGCGGGTTAGGGTGCAGATAAATTACTGTTTGGATTCTTTGATCAGCAGGGTAAATTTGTTGAAGTATTACTTTCGGCAAACAAAAGGACTGATGCGAACAGAAGGATCACTAGCATTTTGTGTTTTTTGCATGTATCTAACCCTGAGCTTCAATATGCTTTACAGGTGCAGAGGATGTCTGAACAGGCAGCAGCTAGTAGCTTCAACAAGTTGGCTTACATCCTTCAAGAACTCAGGAAGCCTTTGAAAGGAATTGCATTAATGCAGGATCTAATGGTGTCTTCTGATTTGAGTAGAGTAGAAGTGGCTTCTGAGGACAAGTATAACGTGTCAAGAACAAATGACCAAGATTGTTGATGACACAGACATTGAAATTATCGAGGAGTTGTAGGAGTACTTAACATGCCTGTTACCTTGTTGCTGTTGATCTTTGTTCTTTTTGAATTAAACCTAATTCTGGGTTTTTTACAATCAAAATCTTTCATGGATTTAACATTTCTCATTTTTTGTATGATGTTCATAAGTTAACCTTCTCTCTCTTTTTAACGGAAGTTTTCTCTATCTGACACTTGTAGCTACATGGAAATGGACTCTGGGGAGTTTAACCTTGGAGAAGCCTTGGAAGCTGTCTTGAAACAAGTTATGTTAATGAGCCAGGATCGCCAAGTTCAGGTTATCCAAGAGTTACCTTCTGGACTCTCATCCATGTACTTGTATGGAGACAATTTGAGGCTTCAGCAAGTCCTTTCCGTTTTTTTGACAAATGCACTCCTTTTCACTCCTGCATTTGAGGAATCATCAGTTGAATTCAGGGTGATTCCTCGGAAGGATCGTATATGGACAAAGATACACATTGTTTATCTTGAATTTCGGTAAAATCCCTTTGCTGTATGCTTTATTATGTTCATAATAGATGCAGCTGGATAGAATAGACCAGTTTTGTCATGTTTCTATATATCCTCAGATAAAGAATCAAAATAAGGCTGTTGACTTTGAGTGATTATATTGCAGGATCACTCATCCAGCACCGAGTATCCCCGAAGATTTAATTCGGGGTATGTTCCACCACAGGCAGGGTGTCTAAGAGAAGGTCTAGGCCTATACATCAGTCAGAAGCTTGTAAAGATTATTAATGGTACTGTACAGTATCTTAGAGAGGCCGAAAGATCATCCTTCATTGTTCTTCTAGAATTTCCATTGGCTCACCAGCTGGCTCACCAGCTGGGTCACCATTGAAAACCCATGTCCATGGGAGTCTGATGAGCATTGAAACAACGGTACTGCAACTTCCACATGAGCCGTATCAGTGGCTTGTATTCTCTAGTCTCAACCAATCAAACGTCTTCATACCTCGGGGTCAAGTTGTGGTTTTTCTGAGTCTGGATGATACCTGATGCTGCTCAACCTATCAAGGGGCATTCGCAAATGGCGAGGTTTATAACGCAGGCGAAAAGTTCGCTGCAGAATCGAAGCTTTTGTAACGAGAAAACCTGATAAAAAATTATTGAATATCTTAGAACCTTCTTTAATTTAGGATACGTTATGTATCTTTCTTGCATTACTATTCCATAGACTGAGGCAATATCTAACTGCCTGGGCATCATATGGTGCCCGATGTTGCTGCTTTGGTGTATAAGAAGCTACTGTACAGTGAACCTCTAAATGATCCTTGACTTGATAATGAACTCTTTTCTAGCTATGGAGGAGACACAGTTTCAGAACACTGGTTGATTGTCACATGCAAATGCAGAAGGATGTAGACGGATCCTTCTCGAACAATTACAAACATCTCGAAGGTATTGGTACCGCAGAGCAGATGGTGCCATAGTTCCCCTTGGCTCCAAGTTTCAGTTACAGAAAACCTGTAGTTCGAGCTATCCTTTGTCCGAGTTGAGAGGATCGGCATTTGACTTTCGCGTTTCTTGAGACCCTTTGCTGTTCCATCCATTGATAGTATTTATGTTGTCTTGTTTCTGTTTGTAAATGGCAGAAAACCTGTTTTGTTTCTTGTTTGTTCTATGAAAGCATTTGGTCAAACTATTGAGCCACTGTATTTACTTATTTTACGTGGAAAAAGGGCGGAGTTTGTTTTTGTTTCTGTACCAAAATAAATAGATAAAAAAAAACTGAATCTTAAAGCATTTTTTGTTGATTTCAACGAGAACTTTTCAGTGTTATATTTGGACTCTTCACTCTTGACCCATTTAGTATACAAGTTCGTTGAAGCTGATAATTTGAATGAAAACAAAGGGGCGCCAAAAAGCATGAAACAGAAAGGTCGACTTTCGTCGCCGCCATGCTCCGGTTTCTCTTCCCACCGTATATTCAAACTCCCAATCGTATTGCCAGCAACTCATCACTTGCTTTCACTTCATTGGCCACGTACGCCACCAATCAACTTCTTTGCAAACCTCAAAACCTCGATCCCTTAATCAACCCTTCTCTTCCTTCTCTGACCCCATTGGAAACTTGATTAATCACTATAAATCATCTCAATCTGGAGTTTCCTCTCCATCATTCTCAGCGCCAACTTTCGAGCTATGCGAATCTTTGGTTACTCGGTACAAATATGCTAGTAGCTTAACCGACGCAAAAGAGTTTCAATTGCTGATTTTAAAACATGGGTTTTATGGATATTTGTACTTGTCGAACACCCTTATTAATGTGTATGTAAGAGCTGGTGATTTATTGTCTGCGCGAAAAGTGTTCGACGAAATGTGTGAGAGGAATCCTGTTACATGGGCTTGCTTGATTTCAGGGTATAGCCAAAGTGGGATGCCCAATGAGGCGTGTGGGGCTTTTAAAGAGATGATTTCTATGGGTTTTTGGCCTACTCATTATGCCTTTGGCAGTGTTCTTCGAGCTTGTCAGGAGCTCGGATCCTGTGGTCTTCAATTTGGTTTGCAAATCCATGGTTGATTTCAAAATCTCAGTATTCGTTTGATGTAGTTGTTTGTAATGTGCTGATATCAATGTATGGGAGTTGTTTGGGGTGTGTTTCTGATGCTCGTCGCATTTTTGATAATTTACAGGTTAAAAATTCAGTATCTTGGAACAGTGTTATATCAGTTTATTCACAAACTGGAGATGCAGTGGCTGCATTCAAGTTGTTTTCAAGGATGCAAACAGAGGGCATAGAATTCAGTTTCAAGCCTAATGAATATACATTTGGGAGTTTGATAACTGCTACTTGTTCTTCCATTGACTTCGGTTTCTCTTTGCTCGACCAAATGCTTAGTAGGATTACAAAGTCTGGGTTCCTTTCAGATCTCTACGTGGGTAGTGCTTTGGTGAGTGGATTTGCAAGGTTTGGTTTAACTAACTATGCTATGAAGATTTTTGGGCAAATGAGTCAGAGGAACGCGATCTCTATGAATGGTTTGATGGTTGGATTGGTAAGGCAGAAATGTGGTGAAGAAGCAACTGAAGTTTTTAGGGAGACGATGAACTTGGTTGATATAAATTTTGATTCTTATGTTATTCTATTAAGTTCTTTTGCTGAATTTACCAAGTCAGAACAAGGGAGAAAAAAAGGTAGAGAAGTTCATGGTTATTTAGTTCGTAGGGGCTTAAACGACACAGTTGTTGCAATTGGAAATGGACTTATTAACATGTATGCTAAATGCGGTGATATTACTGCAGCTAGCTCTGTTTTTAAACTTATGGTTAATAAGGATTTAGTCTCTTGGAATACCATGATTTCTGGTCTTGACCAGAATGAGTGTTTTGAAGATGCTGTAACAAGCTTCGATGCATTGAGACGAACTGGATTAATGCCTTCGAATTATACGGTAATAAGTGCTCTAAGTTCATGTGCAAGCTTGGGCTGGAGCATAATCGGACAACAGGTACACTGTGAAGCTCTCAAATTGGGACTTGATCTGGATGTTTCGGTATCAAACGCTCTTCTTGCATTATATGCAACTATCAGATGCCTTTCTGAATGCAAGAACGTTTTCTCGTTGATGCTGGGCCATGATCAAGTTTCATGGAATTCTGTGATTGGAGCATTAGCTGATTCAGAGTCTTCATTTTCAGAAGCAGTTAAATACTTTTTGGACATGATGTGTTATGGGTGGGTTCCTAACAGAATAACCTTAATGAACATTCTTGCGGCAGCGTCATCTCTTTCACTCAGTAAATTGAACCATCAGATACACGCTCTAGCACTCAAACACGAACTTGCGAATGACAGTTCCATCGAGAATGCACTTTTGGCGTGTTATGGAAAATGTGGTGAGATGTATGAATGCGAGAAGATCTTCTCCAGGATGTCTGAGAGAAGAGACGAAGTTAGTTGGAATTCCATGATTTCTGGGTACATACATAATGAACTCTTGGACAAAGCGGTCAATTTAGTCTGGTTTATGATGGAGAAGGGTCAAAAACTGGATGGTTTTCACTTTCGCAACTGTTCTAAGCGCCTGTGCTTCAGTTGCAACATTAGAGCGTGGCATGGAAGTTCATGCTTGTTCCATAAGAGCTTGTTTAGAATCTGATGTTGTAGTTGGAAGTGCAATTGTTGACATGTACTCAAAAAGTGGAAGGATAGATTATGCTTCGAGATTTTTTAATATGATGCCGGTAACGAACGTATATTCTTGGAATTCTATGATATCAGGCTACGCTCGTCATGGACATGGAGACAAAGCTCTTGAGCTCTTTAAGCGTATGAAGCTAGATGGTCAATTGCCGGATCACGTAACGTTTGTTGGGTCTTATCGGCTTGTAGCCATGTGGGATTGGTCAATGAAGGATTTTCTCATTTCAACTCTATGAAGGAAGTGTATGGTTTGACTCCCAAGATGGAACATTTTTCATGTATGTGGATCTCCTCGGCGAGCTGGTGAACTTGACAAAATAGAAGATTTTCTCAATACCATGCCGATTAAGCCTAATGTTCTTATTTGGAGGACAATCTTAGGGCTTGCTGCAGAACAAACGGTCAGAAGACGGAGTTGGGTCAGAAGGCAGCTGAGATGCTCCTTGACTTGGAACCTCAAAATGCAGTGAACTATGTCCTTCTTGCTAACATGTATGCTTCAGGGGGAAAGTGGGATGGTGTAGCAGAGGCCAGGGTGGCGATGAGAAGGGCAACGCAAAGAAAGAAGCTGGTTGTAGTTGGGTCACGATGAAAGACGGCATCCACGTATTCGTGGCAGGTGATAAGTCGCACCCGGATACTGATTTGATCTATGCAAAACTCAAGGAACTTAACCGAAAAATGAGAGATGCTGGATACGTTCCACAGACAAGATTCGCATTGTACGACTTGGAACATGAGAGTAAAGAGGAACTCCTTGGCTACCACAGTGAGAAACTTGCAGTTGCATTTGTTCTCACACGCTATTCCAGATTACCAATCAGGATAATGAAAAACCTTCGTGTTTGCGGGGATTGTCACGTGGCATTTAAGTATATATCAAAGATCGTCAGTAGGCTAATTATACTTCGGGACTCGAACAGATTTCATCATTTTGAAGATGGCAAGTGTTCCTGCGGCGATTACTGGTAACAGACTATGCTGCCTATTAAAAGTTCGTACCTGAGTTTGATACATACCTGATTTACCGGAATATGAATCAGTCGGTCAATTCTCGTTTAGTTAGCTCACAGCATGGAGATATCGGAGTTGAGTTCAGTATGTTCTATTTTCTCGAGAGGAATAGAGGTTCGGAGTTCCCTTCAGAACTCTTCCTTTTCATGCATAGCTTCCCGACTGTTGCGCTGCATTGGCGATTACCTTCTAGCTCGTACACTGAATCTTGCACGTTCACAGATGTTAGGACTATGTTGCTCTGAGTTTTGTAGAAGTATTCATAAAGAATGAAATTTTGGAATAAGTTAAATGCTTTTGTATTGAAAACATACTCATATTTGACACTAGCATCTCACTGACAGTGGTAGGAGATAATGAGACGAGTTTATCTTGAATGATCGGAGAAAACGCCAGAGAATAGTAATTGTAGCGCTAGTTGACATTGGGATCAAACTGTAAAATTTTCATCTTTTGAGAAAGAAAATAAAATCGTAAAAAGAAAGGGAAAAAATAACGTGGATGACGCATGGAGTCAACAAAAAAATAGTCTACATTAACACACTTGGTTCCCATGTCACCGTTCCATTTATAGTTCAACGTAAAATGTAAATTAAAATATTTAAACTTTAGTGATCAAAATAAGAGTAAAAAATTGGATAGGTAAATTTGAAATTTACCCATACTCTAAATACTACCTTGACTCATAATTAACGAAGATAACGATTTATTTCTTCACATTTATGGTAGTTAACCTAAAACCGGATGCTTCGTAATATTATAAAAAATAATCCAATACACATATAATTTAGTATTTTATTATAGTTGAGAATAAATATCGTACGAACCCAAACTAAGGAAATTCAAGTTGAGGAAATGAAGATTGGAACTTGCCCCATAAATTCTTTCTAATCTCTCAACGTTTTCAATGAATTTCAACCGAATAAACGAATCCGCGATGCTCAAAGGTAATGAAATGAAATAGGCCATTTTTACATAGTAAAAGAATAAATAAAAAACCTGATAAGATTAGAACAAAATCCCGACCTCACATTCCAGATTTCATTAGTATTTATCAACTTTTCAACAACTCTAAAGGCCACCATTCCAAAGATATTTTCTTTACATTCTTTTCTTTACTTGGTATAAAATCCAACAATACACTCAAAATGGTTGCTTTGACATTTGTTTAAGGATTTTTTTTTGGTTCATTGACATAATTTGCATGGCTGCACAAATTACACCGTGTTCTTCCTCATCTTCATCTTCTTCCCGTGCTTTCCCTTCTGAATTCAAGCCGAGAAAATGTTGTTTCTTTAAGAGGGTTTCTCAAGTTTGTCCAATAATCCATACAAGAAACCATTTCCAGATCAAATCCTCCAACGGACATCCATTAAACGCAGTTTCTTCGCAGGGTGGTCAGTCAATTTAAATTACTTCTTGTTTTTGTTTCATGGTCTGTTTTATGTTTGAAAATTAGCTGCCTATCTGTTGGCATTTGAAATTGTTGAATGATATTAGCCGCCTTTTTTTAGCTATGTGACTTCTGGAAAGTTTTAATGCTATGTGCTAATATGGTTTTGGTCCAATGGAGCAATAGTTTATGATGCTATTGATATTGTCAATTCAAAGCATGTTTTAGGATTCTGTAAATCATGTGATTTTTGGCCTTATGTTTTAGGATTCTCGTTTGTTTTGGAGCCCTCGAGGGCTTTTCGGATTAGGTATGGATGGAAGTCCTTTGGCCAAAGCAATCAACCCTGCAGAAGAAGAAGACGATTTTTTCATCGACATCTCAGATGGAGAGGAAGCTCACTCTACTCTCAGCATAACTGTTGTTGGAGAGGGGACCTTGCTAAAAAGAAAATTTTTCCTGCACTCTTTGCTCTTTACTATGAAGATTGGCTTCCTGAGGTAATGTTCTTCATTTCTGAACATAGTTTTGCCAATGCATTTGGTTAACCGGAGTCTACATGATTTATGTATGGTGGAGAAATGATTAGCGAGTCTTTTGTTCTTATGTTATTTTCTCTTGCTATTGCAAAACTTTATAATTTTTGGTTATGCTCGTACTAAACTGACAGATGAAGAGCTCAGGAATATGATTTGTACAACATTAACTTGTAGAATCGATAAGAGGTGAGAGCGATATCATGCTGAAGTAATTTGATTAATCTCTATCATGTTATATCTAAAAGCACAGTATGCTGTTACCCGTTGTGTCGATAACTACCGGATCATACGGGACATAATGCAGAATCATCTCCTGCAAATTCTGGCACTATTTGCAATGGAGACTCCTGTCAGCTTGGATGCGGAGGACATTAGGAATGAAAAGGTATTTGGATTTCCTTCGACATGATTTACGTTTGCGTTGTTTTCGATTTTCCAGTAACTCTATTCTTGCAAAATCCGGTACAACATGGCTGGTATTTTTCAGGTAAAGGTTCTGAGATCAATGAAACCATTGGTCAGTATAAGGGTCACAACAAGGGTGGTAGAACATATCCAGGTTACACCGATGACTCGACTGTACCGAGTAACAGTATCACACCTACATTTGCAGCAGCAGCTTTGTTTCTCAATAATGCTAGATGGGATGGTGTCCCTTTTCTTATGAAGGCTGGAAAAGCTCTCCATCTGAAGCGGTAGGTGTATGTTTTTATTCATTGATTTTTATCTTGAGGGCCTACACCGTGTGATCATCCTTATAATCAGATGGATTGAAAAGTTGTGGATATGAAAATCCAGGGCAGAGATCAGAGTTCAGTTCAGACACGTTCCAGGTAATCTGTACAAGCGGAATTTCGGAACTGATTTGGACAAGGCTACAAATGAGCTTGTGCTGCGTGTGCAACCTGATGAAGCCATTTATCTGAAGATCAATAACAAAGTTCCTGGTCTTGGGATGAGATTAGACCGCAGTGACCTTAACTTGCTTTATCGATCAAGGTAAGGAGATTATTAATTATTCATGAACTTAATATGATGCTTTGGTTCATTGACCTGCGCGTAACTCAAATGCAAAGTGTATCAACAATGAGCTTGATGTTGAAGCTACAATGTTCGGTATAGTAAAAACGATCCTTGCCACTGTTGTTATCAAAACAGATATTTTCGGTATGAAACGTCTTATTCGCTTCCAAGATTCTCCTATGATGTTAACTTAGGACGCCGGTTATGACATGCAGATATCTGAGAGAAATCCCAGATGCATATGAGAGGCTGCTCTTAGATGCAATAGCAGGGGAGCGGAGGTTGTTCATTAGAAGCGATGAGCTCGATGCTGCTTGGTCGCTGTTTACGCCGTTGTTGAAGGAACTCGAAGAAAAAAAGATTGCTCCGGAGCTGAACCCTTACGGGAGCAGAGGACCAGTGGGAGCACATTATCTTGCGGCCAAGTACAATGTTAGATGGGGTGATCTCGGTGGTGATGAAGACTAATGCTCCAAAATGTACTCATTTGTATTACCACAGCTACCAGTTCCTTTCAAGTGTGTTGTGCATTTAGTTGTATTCCCAAGTTCCGTGTCACTGCCATGTATGTATCTCACATGCAGCAGCAATTGGCATGTAAGAAAAATTGATGATGCCAAAAAATATATACTGTTTATCTGATTTGCTACTTCTGTATCACCTCAACATATATCGCATATGTATTGTTCCTAGTAACAACATGATCTTTGACAATACACTATGTAGAAAATCAAGTAAGATACTTTTTTCATTTGCCATTAAGGCAAGTGGCAAATGTAGGTATTAACTAGGGTGGACTAAAATCCAAATCTTTTTATTTTACCTTTCTCTAGCCCCGATACAAAGTTATTATACACAATGCAATCGAATTTGATATTTGCTTCATATATCTACTGACGAGTGATGCTACTCTACTAGTATTACCACTGCTAGTCCAACCAATAGCATCATTTTCATCAATGTTGTATTCGCTTCAATGATAGAGTTGTTGATTAAACACGTCTATACTTATTTTCATTCAAATTGATTAATCATTTGCGGTTGTTAAAGGTAAAAACTTTGAATTATTTTCTATTCAAAGATGTAGTAAATTTTGTAAATATTATAATAATATTTAAAATTGTGTATTTTTGTCGAGATAGAAAGGAGGGTCAGAAATAGAAAAAAAAAAAGATCAAGATTCGATCGAGAATCGCATTTCGTCTTTTATGTTGATAAGGTTTGTCATAGTAAGGTTAAGGCTACTAAATTGGTTTGACAGGTTAAGAAAAATGAGGATGATAGTTATGTGAAGATTGTTAGCGCTAAGGCAGTGGAACCTGGTATAGCTAGGGGGAAACTGTTGTTGGTGGCGTTGAAGTGTTAATAGAGGGTGTGAGTGAGAAGATTGATTTTAGGAATCAAAGACCAAGTGCTGAGGTTATTGATTCAAATGTTGCTAATGGTGTAAGTGTGGGAGCTGCTAGCTCTTCTCAACCTACTAAGCAAAGGTCGAGGATCAAGAATTAACTGTGTAAGTAAGGGGTAGTTACTCGGAATATATTTGAGTTGTTGGGTGAAGATCAGAATGCCTTGTCTATGAGTGTGGAGGTTCAGTCTCGGAAATCGCGGGCTGCTGCTTTGATGTTGCAAATCTTTTGAATGAGATGAAGGCTAAAATGAAAGATCATTGGACAAAGATAAAAAAGATTGTGAGGGGTTTGGAGGTAGTGGTTATGTGTCAATTAAAACTTGAATTTGTGTTTTTAGAATGTTAGAGGGCTTAATGCATTACATAAACAAGTTCATATTGTGAAGCGTCTGAGTAGGCTTAACATTGATGTTGCTTGTTTGCTTAATAAAAATGTGAAGGGAAGTTTTACTGGATGGAGTTGAATGGTAAATTATGATAATACGAGTAATGGTCGAATCTGAGTGGTTTGGAGGAATGGAGTTCATCTTAGAGATGCTTGTATTCAGTAGTAGTCTATTTCGATGATTGGTAATTTTAGAGGTATTAACTTTGGCATTATTGTTGTGTATAACAGTAACGATGGAGTGATTAGGCAGTCTCTTTGGCAGCAGTTGAAGGATAGGGAGGCTGATATGGCTATTATTCCTTGGATTGTGGGGGAGACTAATGTCTCTATTTCCTGCTTTGAAAGTTCGGGTATGGGGGACTCTGAGGCGCCTACTGCTGAG